TGCAGATGCTTGTAGTGATAAGACGGAGCTCAATTGTCCTTGGCTTGCGATTCCACTTCAAAGACACGAACAACCGCCATCGCCCGGTTTGCTGAGCAGCGTGCTTCGACTCGTGGCAGCGGCCAACCATCGTCGTGCAGCGAGACCACCGTGGGATTCCGCAGATGTATCGCCGAGATCAAGTGTATGCTTCGAGCTTTAACACTGATTCGAATCGGAGCAACGCGATGAGCGGTCAACGGACATTTGATCGAGCCTCGTGCCTTGAAGCAAATCACTGCGTCCCAGGACACGCGTAGTTGGACGCTGCAGGAACAAGAGGATGCTATCCTCTCATGCCGAGGGTGGTGTCGCAACCAGTAATGGAAATAGGACGCTAGCGGAGGCTATCTGCATCGTTTGATTAACCAAAAGCTGCGGCTTCCAGAGTCTCATTTAGCAATTAACTTTGCATCGATCACATTACCTCCTCTTCTAAGAGACCAACCAACTCCAGTGATGACTACTACGTTGCTTTCGCCTGGCCGCCTCGGTGTCCGCGCGCTCCAGGCGCTCTGTTCTGTGCTGGCCATGATCTTCACTTCGCTTGGTTACATCAAGTTCACGTCAGGCCAACTGAGCAGCGGATCGGCCATCTACACCACGATCGCCTGCTACTCAGCTATGCTTTGTGGTCTCTACTACGTCATTCCGGTTGGCGTGCTCAAGCTGACCTCCAGTGCTCCTAAGGTGCTGTACCAGCGTGTCGTTGACGGTGCTTTGGTGATCGCACTCCTGGTCGCCGGCATCGTGCACGCGACGTCCGATGCGGTCAAGGACTGCTCGTCGTACAACACCATGTTCGAGACTTACCACGGCTCAGCACTCTTCCGCTGCGGCAACATGACCACTGCCATCGTGCTCACGTTCGTGACGTGTGGGCTGTTCCTGGTCACACTCGTGTGGAGCTTCGTGCGTGACTCGTGCAAGTCGGTGAACGGCGACAACCTGCAGACTGCTCTGACTGATGACAACGGCTACGCGATCGCCAGCACTCCTGGCAAGAAGAACGGGCCATCCAGTGCGTCGGCTACGGTGGATTTGGACGCGCAACACCCGGGACTGAAGATCGTTCGCTGCACCGGCCGTACGCTCCAGTTCGCGTGCTCCGTGGTAGCACTGGTGTGCATTGTGCTGGGCTACAAGCACTACTACACGGGCCAATACATCGAACCCAAGGCGACGTACGCCATCCTCATGGCTTACAGCGGTGTGCTATACTCACTGTGGCACATGGTGGCGGTCGAGACGCTCAAGCTGTCGCGCCACCCGGCCGTGGGCGTCGAGCGCTTCATGGACGCGCTGGTTGCGGTGGGTCTCCTGGTTGCTGGTATTCTCTTCGCCACATCCGCGCAGGTCTCGGATTGCTCGACGACTAACGCGTCCTTCGCGACCTACCATGGCTCGACACTGTTCCGCTGCGGCAGCATGAACACGGGCTACATCTTCACCTTCATCGCTGTGGCTCTGTACCTCGTGACGTTCGCACTGAGCTTTCTGTACCGCTCCACCTCGGCTTCGAATGACGCGGACAGCAACCACTCGGGCGAGACGCACGCTTCGGACGCGGGCCAGCAGGTGTAAGACGGATCGGGCAAGTTAAAGTGCGGAACAAGTGGGTCTTCCGGCTGCTACGCTTGATCACTGTGTCGGATATTGAGTCAGCATGAGTAGTGTTCACAGTAGCTTGCTTCAGTGTATGCAGGCTAGTGTTGTCCTCACGCAGAGAAAATATACAAACAAGAGTCCCGTGATGTCATGAAAATGTTCCAAAAGATATGATGAACGATTTTTTTGTTAGATCAAGTTGAAGTTGTCATCGAAAGCTAAGCGCATGAACGGATACAAGATTACACTTGCTGACCGGGGTCGACGTCCACGTGACGCGGGGCGGGTTCGCTGTCGCTGGAGCCACAGAAGCTGAGTGCGGAGGTGGCCAGGAAGAAGACGCAGTCGATGAAGGCGAGCACGTAGGCGCGCGTGAGACTGCCGCAGCGGTAGACATTGTTCCCGCCAAGCGAGCCCGTGTCCGCCTCGTATTTGGCGTTGATGGTGTCACAGTGGTCAACCTGGTGCGACGCGGCGAGGAGGATAGCGAACAGTAGCAGAAGAACAGCCAGAAGTAGGTCCAGGATTCGCTCGACGCTGACGCTCGGACGGTGCGACTTCTTGAGAATATCAACGACGACGAGGTGGAAGAGTGTGTACAGGATGCAGCTCCATGAAACGAGCACCACGAACATGGCGACAGGGCTTGTAAACCGGCCCGTGAAGTAGTGCTTGTAGCCCGCCACAGTGCTGATGAAGATGATGAGCGAAAGCACGAACTGGACGAAGCGACCGCCGCGACGGGCAATGGCCAGCGCCGGGTGACGCGAATCCGCGGCCGAGTAAGCCTCCGCACGCGCAGCACCTGGAGTTGCGACCTCGGTGTAACTGATACCAGTCTCGGCCTGGTTGGCATTGGCGTTGTTGCCTACGAAGCTCCAGACCAGCGAGACGAGGAACAGTGCGAAGGTGATGAAGGTGAAGATGACACCCATAGTCAAGTTCCCACAACGGAAGAGCTGTAGACCGGCGTACGCCTCGTACTCGTCGTTCTTCTCCGAGCAGTCCTTAACGCCTGAGGAAGCCCAGAGTAGAATACCACCGAGTAGCAGAAGCACCACGAGCACGCCGTCGGTCAGACGCTGGAACAGCACCGACGGAGCCACCGTCGTCCACTTGAGGACCTTCACCGGCAGCACGTAGTACAGACCCGTTAGGAGCGCCGTGTAGTTCATCAGGATACTGAATTCCGGGGAAAGACCACTGAGTTGACCGTCGTCGTTCTTGACGTAGCCACCCCAGGTGAAGATGATGGCAAGCAGCGCAAAGAGGGACTGCAAAGAACGTAGCGCGAACTGAGCGGTGGTGATCGTCATCGTCCCGAAGTCTTGGTAGTAGCTTGTTGTTGTGTGTGATGCACGGCAGATTACAGAATGAACTGGTGATGTCAATGAAAGTTTGTTCTCGAAAGGGTAAGAGTCAAACACCAAGGGTTTCCTCCTTGCTGCACCAGTATCTCTCCTTTCCGAGCTGCAACCGGTGCAGCTGTGGCTCTCCAAACGACATCTCGTGTGTATATCGCTAGGAGAACTGTAGACGAGGTTTGGATACACTGTAGCAGATGGAAGGCGAACGCGGATACACCGGCGCAAGTATCGCAGAACCGATACGAACTGCACCGCTCCAATGAGCTCCAGAGGTGCATGCGTTCAGCCCGACGAAGCGACGAGTGAATCCGAGCTGAACGCGAACTCGGCAGAGACTCGAGTGATCCATGGCGGCCTGCATTGGATACACGGATACATGTTCTCGCATGTATCCTTGAGGCAATCCTGTCCCAATGACGGCCAGAGCAAAACTTCAGTATTGACGTCGCTAGTCTGGGCTTCAAAATCGACATAAGCCGATATACGCTTTACGAATCTCCTGCAAGCTTTGACTGCGATGCTAGAGGAAAATATGGC